TAAAGTATCTCTCCAAACACCTAAAGCACTGTAAGTTCCTGAAGTGCTTTGTGTGGGAAGACTGCGTCCTCTTTTTTTTAATTTTTAAAAAATTTTTTTTTACTAAAAGTGCATGTTTAAACCTTGTTACACCTCCTGACCATTATTATTATTATTATGATATTTATAGAGCGCCGTCAAATTCCGCAGTGCTTTACAATGGCTGGACGAACAGACATGTAGTTGTAACCAGACAAGTTGGACACACAGGAACAGACGGGTTGAGAGCCCTGCTCAATGAGCTTACATGCTAGAGGGAGTGGGGTAAAATGACACAAAAAGGTACGGATAGTATTAGACTAGTGACAGTTGCAGAAGAGGAATCAGTCAGGAGCTATTAACAGTTTAATTGATACGCTTTTATGAAGAAGTGGCTTTTTAACGATTTTTTGAAGGAGTGGAGACTGGCTGAGCATCTAACGGAGGAGGGAAGTGAGTTCCACAGGAACGGTGCAGCCCTCGAGAAATCTTGAAGGCGAGCATCAGAGGTGGGAGTACGGACAGAAGATAGACGTAAGTCTTCAGCAGATCGTAAGGGCCTAGACGGGACATACTTGTGTATAAGGGAGGATAGATAGGTGGGAGCAGCATTATGTAGAGATTTGAAAGCAAGAACCAGAATTTTAAATTGAGCTCTATATTTTATAAGAAGCCAATGTAGGGACTGACAGAAGGGTGAGGCATGGGAAGTGCGGGCGGACAGGAAGATGAGCCTCGCCACCGCATTCATTATGGACTGTAACGGCGCTAGTTGGGAGCACGTAAGACCACTGAGAAGCAGATTACAGTAGTCAAGGCGAGAAAGGACAGTGGAATGGACCAACACCTTAGTCGCATCTGACGTTAAGTAGGGGCGGATGCGCGCAATGTTTTTGAGATGGAAATGACAGGATTTGGCGATAGATTGAACATGAGGCTTGAAGGAGAGGTCGGAGTCAAAGAGAACACCTAGGCAGCGAGCCTGCGTGGTGGAGCTGATGGTAGCACCGTTGACTTGGAGGGAGACAGACACAAGAGTAACAACACTTGAGGGAGGAAAGACCAGAATTTCAGTTTTGGTCAAATTTAGTTTAAGGAAGTGGGCAGCCATCCAGTTAGAAACAGCAGAGAGGCCGTCAGAGACACTAGTCAAGAGGGACGGGGAGAGATCAGGAGAGGACAGGTAGATTTGCGTGTCATCTGCATAGAAATTATATTGGAAGCCAAAGTAGCTAATGAGTTTACCAAGGGAGGCAGTATAGATGGAGAACAGTAGGGGGACCAAGGACTGAACCTTGGGGGACACCAACAGAGAGGAGTTGGGGAGAAGAAGCAGAGCCAGAGAAAGAAACATTGAAAGAGCGCTGGGAGAGGTAGGAGGAGCACCAGGAGAGAGCAGTATCTTGTAGACCGATATTGCGGAGGATGAGAAGAAGCTGTTGATGATCAACAGTGTCAAAAGCCGAAGACAGGTCAAGGAGAATTAGGATAGAGTAGTGACAACAGGTCCTGTTACTTCCTGGTTTGATTAGCTCAGTGTAATTAAACTCAAGAGGCAGCAATTACTCAGAGCACCTGCCTTGCAAAGAATTATCATTGAGCTGCACTGAAAGTCTGTGATTGGACAGTCACATAAGCTCTGGGCGGGGTTAGAATGGGAGGGCTTGCAAAGGCTGCAGAGAGATCTGCAGCTTTTGTAAACAGTTTTTAGACATATCCCAATGAAAAAATAAATCATTAAAAGCATGTATATTTTTGTTGGGGATATATCTACTAATCAGTGATTTATTTATTTTTTGTATGTGGACAGTGCACTGGAGTGTCCCTTTAAGGCCAAAATACCTTACAAAAACCTCTACAAATGTTCCAAGTCACCTATGCTTTCAGTTCAGTAACTTTGGCATTAAATTTAAAATTGACGTTATAACTTTGAATTACCAACTATTCTCCATTTCGTGAATAACCTTGTTTGTGTTAAATTATAACTAATATGACTTTTACACTACAAAACAAAACGTACAAAGAGTCAAAGTTCCATTTTCAATTCTAAAGCAAATATTCAGGTGTGGCAGAAAGAATGATACCTTGTTTACAATAGTAAATGAGGTACAACATGTAATAAGGAAAAACACCAAAATTATAGCTTGGCGTGTGCGTCAGAGGGGGGTCAGAGTCCCTGTAATTGCCTGAGAGTTGTGTCTGCATACATTCAAAGTCACCCTCATTAAGAGAAACTGTTTCTATTTTGGGCTGAAATCATTCTGTCCTTCATTTCTATCGTAATATCCACATGTTCAGAATTCTTGAAGTCTATGGGTATGAAACAGAGCATCACAGTAATAAAACAGTTCATTAAATCAGTCAGGGCTGCCACCAGAAATTTTGCGGCCCCTAACTGAGCTCAGGGTCTGGGCCCCTGGGGGCCCACCTCCAAAACCGCCCACAGAGACCGCCTCCAAATACCGCCCACAGGAATACACACACACAGACACAAACACACACACTGATACAAAAGGACACAGATACATACTAACAGACACACATACTGAAACAGACATACACGCATACAGGCATACATACTGACACACATACTGAGACATACACACAGGCATACATAGTGACAGACAGACACATACTAACATACATACAGACACACATGCATGAGGACATAAAGACACATACATACATACACACACACATACATTCATACATACATACACTGACATCCATACATACACACATACATTCATAATGGCATACATACATACATACAGACTGACATACATGCATATATACAGACATACTGACAGACATACATGCATACAGACATCCATACACATATACACACAGACATACATTCATAATGATATGCAGACATACATTCATACTGACATACAGACATACATATATAATGACATACAGACATACATATATACATACATGCATACAGACATACATCCATAGACATACATGCATGCATACAGACAGACATACATACACAGACATACAGTCAGACAGACAGACAGAAATACAGACATACATAGACATGCATGCATACAGACAGACAGACATAGACATACATGCATACAGACAGACATACACATACATGCATACAGACAGACATGCATACAGACAGACAGACACATACATGCATACAGACAGAAAGACACATACATACATGCATACAGACAGACATACATGCATACAGACAGACATACAGACATACACATACATGCATACAGACAGACAGACACACATGCATACAGACAGACAGACATACATGCATACAGACAGACACACATACACATACATATATACAGACAGACAGACATACATGCATACAGACAGACATACATGCATAGAGACAGACAGACATACATGCATAGAGACAGACAGACAGACAGACATACATAGAGACAGACAGACATACAGACAGACAGAAATACAGACAGACAGACATACATACATAGAGACAGACAGACATACATACACACACACACAGCTCATTTCCCAGCCACCCTCCTGTCTCTTACCTGTTCTTTGAAGGAATGGGTGTCTGGAGATGATGGGAGTCGGCGCGGCTCCCTCTTCACCGGCGCGGGCGCGCGCGCTCCTCTCGCGCGCTCCTCTCGCGCGGAGTGAGCTGGGAGGAAGTGACCACTTCCCTCCCAGCAGCACTTGCGGCTGCTTTTTTTATAGGGGCCCGGTCGCGCTATATCACGGCCACAGCGCTGACCGGGCCCCTGAAGATATAGGGCCCATCGGGTGGCCCTAAGTGTGTGGGCCACCCGATGGGCCACACATGTGGGGCCTGGGCCGCCGGGCCCCCCCAGGGCTGCCGGGCCCGTGACAACCATTATGGTTGTCACCCCCTGATGGCGGCCCTGAAATCAGTAATGAGTCTTTAAAATACAATAAATGTGTTTCGAAAACAGTCTTTTTAAATAAGATACATTGGTCTTGTTCTAAAAAGAATTCGCAGTCACGTAAATTATCAATAGGTCAGGAAGCCAATTAAAATGTCCTGCAATAGTTGCACATCTGCTCCCATCTCCAGTCTTGCTTCCTTAAATGGAAAAATAAATAAAAAGTAAGATTTACTACACATCTAAAGTGCAACAGAGGTAAATAAAATTGTTTTCTCCACTACAAGAAGTGACTTATGGGTGCCGCCATTTTGCTATCTTTCATCACATAACTACGATATGGGTAAGCTCTGTAGTGACTGACAAACTGCTATGTAACTTCCCATTATTCTACACAAACTCAGACAAACAGGAACAGCTTTACCTACTAAAGTGAGAATTCAAAGTGAAAAATTCAACTCAAGTCAACTATGCTTTCATTCGGCTATTCTGGCTTTAAATTTAAAATTCACTTTGAATTTTTCCTTTAGTAAATAAATGTATCAAATGCCTTGCCGTACCTTTGCAGAAGTCATGGGACGCAAATATGATGGTAGACTAACAGCAGTGGCTTCCTTGCTTTCTGAGAAGCCATTAAAAAGCTGAAAGACTCAAGTTATGTTGCAGGAATGTGGGTTTCCATTGATATTCTGATGGTAACATAGTTAGCAGTTGTAACTGAATCAATTCTGTGTTTAGAAAGCCTGTGTAGAAGCAGAGCACTTTGAATTGGTGGGTAGGTCTTTTACGCTTCAGGTTCTTTAGCTGTGTTACATTGTTTCAAATGGTAACATGCCTGTTTGATCATGGCTGACACTGGATGTTTGATGGCTAAATAGTTGATGCATGATCATCAAATAGAATCTCTCCAGCTGTTGGAGAACTTCTGCTATTATGACTTTCAGCCAAGAAGAATTTTAGGTAATCTTCCTCTTGGCCATCACTACTCTAGAACAGCTCTAAAATGTTCCTATTTGATTTTAACAGCTGTGAACGCCCTCACTTTGATCCAAAGAAATTGCCATCAAGAGAACTTCCGTCTTTTCCAGAGATCAGCCGCAACTAAATGTCCATCATCCAGGATGGGAGTGCTCGTAGACAGCACATGGGACCAAGTGTTGGATCCCTCATCTTCGTTGCACACAGAGCTGTGGTTGTGCTACAATTGACCAATTGACCATAACTATTTACGCTGGGCATCCACCCACACAAAGTAACAGTTCCTCAAGCATTATGTAATAAAACCACTTGGTTGCATGAATATAAAAGTTTGAATTGGTGGGTAGGTCTTTTACTCTTCAGATTTATTTAGTTGTGCTACATAGTTTCAAATGATAACATGCAAATTTGATCATGGCTGACACTGGATGCTCAAGGTGAATGACTAAATGGTAGATGCATGATGACCAGATGATATCTCTCCAGATGTTAGAGAACTTCTACCAATATGATTTCAACCAAGAAGAATTTTAGCTAATCTTCCTTTTTGCCATCGCTAATCTAGAACAGCCCAAAGATTTTCCTGTATGATTTTGATACAAAGTAACAGTTCCTCCGGCATAATGTAATAAAACCATAGAGTAAACTATGATTAAGTGTATGTAAGTATATAAAACTTGTAGGACTGAATCCCACAATAGGCCATCCCCGCATTTAATTTTTAATATGGTTCAATAAAGGAAGGGATTTTATTATGTTGTGTTATGGAGCTATAACTTTGTCTCGATTTCTGTAACACAATGGTGATGTCAGAAGAAAAAAGCTCCGGACTACACAGCATTCCACATGTGAACTCAATGAAGAGTACTGCGATTCTTGTTGGCTTGGTGGAGATTTCATGAAAAGTTGGCCTCAAGCAGTGGAGGGTAATGTTACTTGGTTGTACTAGAGAAGGCACCAAGTGGGATCAGCTCATTGTAACAGTACTAAAAGATAAAATAATGTGTTTATCATTGATCTTTGCATCTGAGTAGATGTTAGTGATACAATTTAGGATTTCTAAATATTGTTTATGTAATACTTCCAAGTGGATCACACCTTAGGTATGTAGAGTAATTATTGGCTCTTGTTTTCAAGTTACATTTTAATATTGTAATCTGTGTATCTGTAGGTCCTTGATTCTAAAAGTGGAGCAATTTCCATGGAATCCAATGGAACATTCTGAGGACTGCTGTCTTACATAAAGATTATTACACACGTGTTCCGTAGGAATAATCCTGCTAAATGATGAATTGTACTGAATTAAATTTAGGCAGAAACTGGTATTTGGAAAAATTCTCCAACTTTGCTGCCATCACAGCTTGGTTGGCGCAAGGTTTTTTTTTCACCTTACAGAGCTATATAACTATGTTTTAGCCTACATTTTGTAATTCAAATTTGAATCAGTACAATTCAGAATTAAGGGAATAAGCCCAAGGTGTGTTTGGTTAATAATTTCAGCCAATAATTAATTTAACTGTAGACAAACGTGTTATCTTGAATGGATTCTGCCAACAACATAGTGTTTGCCATGTAAATACAAAGCATAAAAAAATAATTTTTAGTAGATTAATATATCTAGAAAAGAAAGTTTCAGATAATTTAACTTTTTTCCTTTTATGAAAATACTAAACGCAAAAAAACTTTCTGATTGTATGAATTAATTTGCATACAGTGTTGAAACGATAACTATCTGCCTGTTGACTGGTTCTTCCAAAGAGCCTTGAATTTAGTAAAATATGCTGTAATTTATACTAGTTGAACTTTGATCCTCAAATGGTAGAAACAAACGTGTGCCCATAAAAACATGGTTACCACAACAAAATAATACATTTTATTTCCTGCTGTCTTGTACGGAAGATGAGCAAACATTAACTGCAAAAGGAGTTTGTCGCTTCAGCTTGCCTTCCCATCAGAATTTATCTGCGGCCAAAGCTTATTTAGACAACTGGTTGATACCGAGGTGAAGCTTCTGTTGTTCAGTACAGGCTTTCAAAGAAATATAACTCTGCTTACTAAAATGGAGCAACTTAATTCTGCCCAAAAAAAGGAATCTGAGATCACCTGCTCATTTTGTGTGCATTCTTCTGTATCTGCTGTTAAAACATGTCTGCACTGTGAGGCCTCTCTCTGCGAGGAACATGTGAGGATTCATAGTAAATCCAACGAGCACGTGTTGGTTGAACCCAGTACACCGATACAAGAAAGAAAATGCTCAATTCACAACAAACTGATTGAGTTTTATTGCAATAAGGATGGAGCTTGCATCTGCGTGTCCTGCTGTATCGTCGGGGACCACAAGGGTCATGAGATGGATCAATTACCAGTGGCGTTTGAGAAGAATAAGGTAAAGCTAGAAAATATCCTGACCGATTTGACTGAATCGAGAGTGGAAACGGAGAAAAGACTTGAGAAACTGGAAGAGAAAAGGAGAGATGTGCAGGAAGAGGCAGCTGGTGTAACAAAGCGGGTCAGTACGCTGTTTAATGACATTAGAGGACGTCTGGATGAACTAGAAAAGCAAGCCTTCAGTGAGATTACCAGGCAGGAACAGGAGACCACTCTTCGGGTGGCCAACCTGATAAAGCAACTGGAATCAAAGAAGAATGAGATGTCAGACAAGATCTGTAAAATTGAGGAACTGAAAAAAATTACAGACCCGTTAACTGCCCTGAAGAACAGTTTTAATGAGGAGAAGAAGCGCAGGGGGTCTCGCAAGATGAGTGAAACTGACACTGATGCTAAGCTGGTTGGTCATCTAAATGAAGTTTCACTCTCCTTCATGCTTCAGATGGGGCTTCAAAGCTTGGCAGGTAGTCTGCTGCCACTAAAGGCCAAGCAGCAGTTTCCAGACGTGAAACCTACAGAGGTGACCTTGGATGTAAAGACAGCCCACAATAAAATAATCATATCAAGTGACCTTAAAACTGCAACCTATACAGCTACACCTCAAAAGTATCCAGATGGACCAGAAAGGTTTAGGACATGTCAGGTCCTAAGCAGTCCGGGATTTTCATCGGGACAACATTACTGGGAAGTGGATGTCAGCCAAGCGAAGAGGTGGATTGTAGGAGTCGCCTGCGAAAGTATACAAAGAAAAATAGCTGGAAACGATTCTTTTATTGGATATAACAACAAGTCGTGGAGTCTATTTTTCCAGAACTACCTTGGAGTATCTCATAACAACGTACAACAAACTGTGGTCTCCGATACCCCTGTGCAGGCCCTAGGCATATACCTGGACTATGATGCTGGTCAGATGTCCTTCTTTCAACTTGGTGAAACTCTTCATCTCTTACACACTTACTCTGCCACCTTCACTGAGCCTCTTCATCCTGCGTTCTTTATATTCGAAGGCAGCTCGATCCGAATTAAAAGTTAAACACAATGATAGAGAAACAATTTCCTTAAGAATAGAGGAACCAGGATTTTTTTTATACACATATCAAAATGATTCAAGGTTAGTCTTATAAAATGGAATTAGTGGTAGATCATTTCTTAGTGAGCAAGAACGTTGCAAGTGCTTTACATTTTTTTTCACGTTTCCTACATATATTTTATCCATATCCATCTGAACATTCAGAAAGGTTTTCTTTTTCTGAGTTCCTTATAATATAATTATTTGCCATACCAGCAAGTGATGAGAACGATGAGAGGAAACTAAAGTTCTATTATAAGCATCTGATATACTCATAGGGGTTTATTCCAGAACAGGATTAACCAGAAGACGACACCAGAACCACACATTTGCTTGGTCCCATTAACCACGTGAGGACTGAGGGGCCCAAGCTGGTAAGCACCCTAAGGACCCTGCTAAGAGCCCCTCTGGGATTTTAACCCTTCTCTGGTTTATTCATTAAAGGGAGAATTGTGGAAATTAGACAAGGGACATTTTATAAATGCTGGCATGACTCCTCCATTCTTTGTGGCGACATGACTGTCACTAAAGGCATGAAATCTGCATAATATAAACAGCATTATTTCTCAGAACTGACACTGCTTTCATGTGCGAAGCTTCAGTGGCCCCATCTATGCCCCCAAATGTCTTCGTTAAGATTAATTGATTTTGGTGCTTATACCGTCGCTTTAATGTGTTTAATCATTAGCCCATTAGCAAACGGCTTTCAATGATTTGTATTTTGCTTTCAATCACAATTTTACTTTGTTTTTTTCTGTAGAATTGACAAAATAATGTGTTTTTCTTCACATGATTCCTGTATATTTGACTGCAAATTACTATAATTTAGCACAATCGTCATTCCTTAGATTGTAAGCGTTTTTTTGTCTGTTCACCTTAATTTGATCATCATTTATGTTTTATTTATATATTTCCATTTTATAATAGTGCAGAATATGTCAGTTTGAATAACAATTGGCTAATGTCACTAAATGAGGGTAAAATAGTAGTTAATTTATTATTATTCTTTCATTTACGTTGCTTCCATTTAGTAAAGAATAATGTTTAGAGAGGAATTATCATGAAAAATGAATTGTCACACTAGAGGGGACTCAGCAGCTCACACTGGGGGGGAACACATCAGCTCACACTGGGGGGGACAGCAGCTCACACTGGGAGGAACATAGCAGCTCACATTAGAAGGGACACAGCAGCTCACACTGGGGAGGGGACAGTAGCTCACACTGGGGGAAACACAGCAGCTCACACTGGGGGAACTAAGCAGCTCACATTAGAAGGGACACAGCAGCAAACACTGGGGGGAATACAGCAGCTCACACTGGGGAGAGGACAGTAGCTCACACTGGGGGGGAAACAATGCAGCTCACATTAGAAGGGACACAGCAGCTCACACTGGGGGGAATACAGCAGCTCACACTGGGGAGAGGACAGTAGCTCACACTGGGGGGGAAACAATGCAGCTCACATTAGAAGGGACACAGCAGCTCCCACTATACTAGAGGGAGGACAATAAAGCAAACAACACAACTTCTTTTACACTAAAGAGTTTCAAACATTGCAACACTGTAGAGTAGCAAATATTAAAAGTTAACTCTTCATTGTTTTTAATTTGTATAAAAAGTTTTTAAATAAAGTCAAATTTATTAAAACAATTAAATATGTTATTTCCATTTTTGTGTGTGTGTGTTTGCATGTGTGTGTGTGTATATATATATATATACAATTAGTTAAAGTGTAACAAGTCTTATTAACATGTATAACTAGTTCCGGACTGTTGGCTTGTTAGAATTATTTTATATTTTATTCCTGGATGTAATAACTTATGATAATTGTATGATTGTTTCTGGTGCACTAATTAAGGTATGTTCACCAATAGAGATGTCGCGAACTGTCCGCCGAACTGTTCGCGAACTGTCCGCCGGCGAACAATAGCGTGTTCGCGTTGGGCGAACATATCCGATTTCCGGTCCGCCCCCCATACGTCATCATTGAGTAAACTTTGACCCGGAACCTCACAGTCAGCAGACACATTCCACCCAATCAGCAGCAGTCCCCCCCTCCCAGGAAGTGTCTGCTGACTGTGAGGTTCCGGGTCAAAGTTTACTCAATGATGACGTATGGGGGGCGGACCGGAAATCGGATATGTTCGCCCAACGCGAACACGCTATTGTTCACCGGCGGACAGTTCGCGAACAGTTTGGCGGACAGTTCGCGACATCTCTATTCACCAACAGTGGCATGTAATGGGTTAATTCCGTAAACCTCAAACTGTAGCAAATTAAAATCTTGTCCTTATGGACAAAAATAGCTAATCTGACAAAAAAACAACTCTGCTATACTTACGGCTTGGCTATTAGAGCCTGAATTGTGCCGTTTGGATTAAATGTGGTGTTTAGTGAATTACAATACATTCAACGTTTAGGTCCTTTTGTTTATGTATCAATAGTGACCTACCCTGGGATTTATTTACTAAATCATAAAGTGTGTGCAAGCTAAATTGGATCTCTCATTTCTTGGGATCCTTATGTTTCCTGAGCCCATATGTTTAGTAAATATGTTCTTACGAGGTCTAAAAAATAAAATGAGAGCCCCTGCAGACACTAAAACCACTTCATCTAGCTGTACCTGCTACCTTTCTTTTTAAGAATATTTCTTTCCATAGAGACCTTTGAGTCCCGATGCCTTGAACAGTCTGCCCAGGACTAGGTGAGATACACACACAGCGTCAAAGTTCCATCAATTCAACTCTCAGTGCAAGAAGCTGTCTTCCCCAGCAGGACCCCAATGCCTATTATACTATTATACAATGCCCAGGACTAGCAAGGTAAGAGGTAGGTTCTAGGCAAGATGGAGGTGGGTGATCATGAGGTTTGAATGTTGCAATAATAGTGATAAATAAAATAAATAAACACAAACAAACTTATTCATCAAAATATTTTATTTAATAACTTTAATAATACACCTTGGAGAATGGCCGTGAACCTTTATTACGGATTTCATAATTCCAAATAAAACCATAACCATACTAATAATAATAATAAACCATAACTTTAAACCAAATCAACATATTAACCATAACCACTTTCCAAGGCTCAGCCCCCCCTCAAAGCCAGGAGCCATAAATATATATTAAACCAAATCCACCCTCCTGTGATGACCAGGAGGGCGACTTATATCCCAACGCCACCGAGGTTCTGGGCTACCAAGCGCCCACGGCCATCTCCAACATAGCTTGAATGTCCAAATTAAATACATCTAACCCAATATCCGACAAATTAACTGCATTGCTCCCGTAAAAACCAGCACAATTGCCCTCAATATCCCTATGCCTATACAAAGTCATTCCCAAAGTTGGTAAAAAAAAAACAAAAACAAATTCTAATGCTCTATTTACTTTTCTTCGTAACCTTTCCAATGGTTTTTAAAATGGTTTTACTTTTAACCAGCAATGCCTTGGGATAATTTCCGACCAGATGAAACGAACATCTGGAAATATTTGTATTGTGAAAACCAAATCTCTTGCATCAAATTGACCGATTTTGTTGAACCGATATCATTACCTCCCAAATGAACTATTATCACCTCTGGATAAGGAAAACTTAACATACATTGCTGTGTTATCTCAAATAAATGAGACCACTTGGTCCCACGAATTCCTTTCCAAAAAAAACCTTTAAAAGCGGCGCTTTACAATCCAAGATTTTCGCCATATGACCATTCTTTCGCCCTCTTCTGGGCCCAAAATATAAAGAGTGACCAATTACCCAGGCAATCACCGGCTTCTTATTTCCTAACAAAAAGAAAATTATTAATATATACACCAATGTTCATAGTCATCAATAAACTTTAACAACTTTAAGCAGATAAACACATTTTATTTAAAAAAAAAAATTATATCAAATGAGGCCTAACGTATAATTGAAATCTATTAGACTCCCATCTTCCCAACCTTTGAATTATTCCATCACTTAATCCACACCTTGCTGCTTCCGTGGCCGCTCCAATTCTAAATGAATGAGATGAATAACGCTCATCTCCTAACTTATCTATGTATATCTTGAAGACCTTTTGTAAATTGAAACTTAGTCAAATGAATGGTGTCACTATGCATGAAAAATGGACCTTCATCCCTCGGTCTTATTGACAAGTATTCTTCAGTCACTTTAACCGGACACAAAAATGATCCTTGAATCTCCAGCAATGTTAACCATCTCCCTTTGCCTTCCTGATCTGTTTTTGATTTGCTAATGAATACCGTCGAAAATAAGTCTATTTTCTTCACACCATCACTTTCCTATCACTAACAATAATATTCTCCCATTGTAATACTGATAAACAAAATTTACTCTTAGCTACTAACTCACTAATTCTTAAAGCTACAAAAAATCCGATTATAAACGAACATCTAAGTAAAACTAACTCATGTGCTGGATTAATATGGGGTAAAATGTTTAGTTCAGGGAAAATAGGTAGGCCTTTGGACTGGTTTGGTAGGTTCGGGCTCATTGGTAGCTCAGAACCTGGATGTGTATGGGTATTTCGGTATACCCCTACAATTGTGGAACTGTGAAAATGGATGCCCTTGGTGGCAATGGTTATGTGTTCAACGTTAATTATATGGTGTTATAATGTTGTTGGGATTTATTGTTTATGTAAGAGTGGGTCATTGTCGGGGGGTTTAATTGTATAAAGGCAGGATGCTGGAGTTACATGTCAGTGTTGGCATGGTGTTGACAATGACTTTAAATTTTACTTGTTTAATAACTTATTTTCAATAAAAGCTGTGAAAAGTTTTGCCAAAACATGGGGTCATGGGTTTTTATGGGGATTGGTGTCGCAGAGGCGACTATGCACGTCATGTAAACGATATCGGTTTCCTATTATCCCTACCTCTTCTAGCTCTTCTATAACCTCAAACTAACTGATTTACTATGAAATACTGTTTGATTGGCTTACAGTCACACAGCTTCCTAAAGAAATCCACCCCGGCTAAACTACAAGATAACTTAGACTTAGAAAAACCCCTCTGCATTGAAACCAATGTAAATTGTATTGGACTCTCCTTATCCTCTCCAAACGGATCTTTATTATTTAACTTATTAAAATTGAACCACTTATTCCATGCCCTGACATATGCACTCCATGTAGCAACTGCTACCGAGTTCATCAGCATAACACTTAACTGTCCTCAATCAATTCCCAGAGGTCTGACGGGAACTGGGTTCATTCCGCAGTTACTCTTGGTGCCAATTTTCTAAATTCCTGCAACTGTAATCGTGAAAGAGCATCAGCCAGCCTATTGATTTTGCCTGGAATGTGCCTAGCTTTCACCCAAATATTTAACTAAAAAAAACACCTTCGCACTATTACACGCAACCCTATTACACCTAGACTGTAAATAATTGATTACCATCACTACACTTAGATTGTCGCATGTGACAATCAGACGCCTATTTTTCCATGCATCTCCCCATAAATATATTGCGCCTACAATTGGAAATAATTCCAACAAAGTTACATTTTTGGTTATGCCTTCCTGTGTCCAAAGATCCGGCCATTCTTGTGTGCACCATTGTCCATCCAAATATATGCCAAAACCGATAGCACCCGATGTGTCTGTAAACAGCTCCAGACTATCACAATCTATGAACTCTGCCACATTGATCTTCCATTAAAATCTGTTAGAAAACCTTTCCATTCTTTTAAGTCTTGCTTCAATTCCTTTGTTACTCTAATATGTGGGACTTCATATGGAACCTAACTTTAGCCATTGCTATCCCCAATCTCTCCCCATTGGAATAACCCTTAATGTGAATGTTAACAGACCGAATAGCGATTGTAGAACTTTTAATGTCACCTTCTAAGTTCTCACAGCCCATTACCTGCTGGATCAGCATCTTCTTTTTCAGTATCTTATCCTCTGGCAACCTAAATTGCTGAATCAATAATTATTCCAAGAAATTGCAAACAAAAAGTGGGTAAAACGGTTTTATCCTCTGCTAATGGAATACCTAACTTACCGGCCACCCTTTTGAATGTTTCTAGCAAGTTCTTACAATTGTCACTATCCTCAGAGCCCACAAATAAAAAATCATTCAAATAATGCATTACTTGACTCTGACCTGATTCATACTGAACAATCCATTCAATAAAAGTCGCAAAGGTCTCAAAGTAAGAACATGACAGAGCACAACCCACAGGCAAGCATTTGTCTTGAAAACCTAGCGAATTGATTCAGGATGAATCGGTAAAAGTCGAAAGGCAGCTTCTATATCCCCTTTTATCCATCAATGCACCCCTTCCACATTTTCTTACTAAATTTAAAGCCTTATCAAAAGTTGAGTAAGACACTAAACTTTCTTCTTTAGAAATCATGTCATTTTATAGATCCTCCCTTAGGGTATGATAGGTGATGTATTAACCTATATGACCCAGGTTCTTTCTTCGGTACCAAACCGAAAACATTTAAATGGGGGAACATTGAAAGGGCCCCCAAACCTCCCTAACTCTAACTCTCTACAAATCTTTTCCCAGGCTAAACTTGGTAACTCTAAAACTGATTTTAAATT